AGTTCTGGCGGCCAGTCTTAATTTGTTTAGCTAGAAGCATTTGCCGAAAAAGCCAGTGCCGGTAGCGATAAAAACTACGGGGAACGATGCAAAAAACGCATCTTCGCACGGGCAGCCCGATTGTCTTTTATAACAACTTTTTTTTTATCTGCAGAAATATCATGATCTCAATGGAATTGTGCAGCGTATGATGGCCGAAACATTGATCAAACCAACAAAGGTATGTATTTAGAAGCAATTTTTTGTGCCTTTTTAATGTGGGCACAAAATGAAAATCTAAGACATAGTTTTACGTAGTACTGAGCGGACAAAGCAAAAAAAGCTATACTTTTGCGCTTTAAGCTTTCGTGGGCTTCTTTAATTTTCACTGTTTAGCACCACTGAAACAACTAGCGACATTTTCATACCCGGAGAATCTAAATTTATCACATCTAAGTGCTGCATGATGCAGTGCAGGCCGATTTTTTCAACAAATTTTTAAATATTTGAAATGGGTCGAATCCATACTGATGTCGTTTTCTGGAAATTATTGTTATAAATTCCATAACAGTACGTTTTTTTGCAGATTTTTGCGAATAAATCAACAGAATGCGCTGACCTGGTCACATCGGTGCAATCGGAAACGATGCGACAAGACGATTCATGCCAAACCCCAAATATTACTATATATGAGCCGGGCTCGAGCATTGAAACATCGTCTGAAAGTTTAGCGGTCGCCGCATTACGTACGGAAATAGATGAATCCAAAAAAGTACATGATTCATTGGCGGCTATGCTTGATTGCGTCCGACATGCCCAGGTTATTGTTAATGTTTTTTTTTTTTCGCCAAAGTACTGCTTTTATGCCTTTAAATGATACATTTCTTCTCGTCACTGATGCAACTGGCAACTTCTCCATTATTCTCTATTTTAATCTTCTCTCATCCACATAAATTCCACATAACAGTTTAAGCGGATCTTTCTACCCATGTGGCCAGCTTTTGCCTTTACTTTTTATGCGTTTTTGCCATGCAGCGCTAGAGCGCTGGAACAGACAAAAGCGCATATTGCAACGACCCTGTCTGTGTGTGTATGTTTGTGTGTATGTGTGTGTTTATGTGTGTGTATGTGTGTATTTGTCTGTCCGGGTATTTCTACTCGCCAACCACGCAAGCTTTGATGCTGAAATTTTACCAGTGCGTTCCCTGGCCAATTGCAGCCCCAGAAACGTGATATCAACTGTCACGCACATCTACGTCTCACACACAGACACCTGAAATTTTTGGCGGGAAAACTGCTAACTCGAGAACAGGGAAAGCTGGAATTTTAACGGAATGCTTCTTACTTGTGTGCGACTAAAAGATTTCAAATTCATTTCTCTTGTGAGGTCCTTTTCGCGTACCAGCAACTTTCCATTTGTCGGTCGCTGAAGCCGACATCTACAACTGACATGCCACGCAGCTGCACAATTAACTTCCTGAACTTTGAAGGCTAATATGTCATAAATTCGAGCTACCATGTTTCCTCGCGATTTTGCTGCAGTACGAAATGGTGTAAAAATGATGCGTTCCAGCCTGGCTTTGGTATAATATGGGTACAAAATCTTGAATTTTTTTAATGACATTTTTGTGTTCACAATGAGACAGCACCTGATCCAGTTATTGGGGTATTATAAAATTGCAATATTTTGTTTTTATATTGTAACTTTCATCTTCATAATTCAGCTTGTTTCTCACAGCCGATGCATCCTTCTAATTTTTGTCAGTTTCTGTGTTTCGTGCATTTACGTGAGCGGAGGAGTTAGAAACCTATTGGCGGAGCCCCTCTTTTTCTCCTAGTCTCGCCTTCTGCAGTTTTCTTTCACGCTGCATGAGTACCTTATAGAGACAGCTATACATCCTCGTGAACTGATCAGTTTGTTATTCGTTTTGACGCATATTACATTTTCGTGCAATTCCAAACCGGCCCATGCACTGGACTGTAGAAACAGAGCAATTTTCATGCTATTTTTCGTCTTCCCTGCAAACCAAAAAAAAAAAAAAAACACTGTTTTCTATAGATTCGTGGTAAACTAAGCCCAAATATACAGCAGTTATTGGAGAATCTCTTCAGTGAAGTGCAGCAAAGCGACAAATCGCTGGAAAAAATTGCTGAATTGGTAAGTGACTAAGTTTTTCTCATAATTCTATACTTTTATCATACTTTGGATGCTTGAATTAGCTGTTTGCTTCTCCAGCGGTGCAACTGGCAATTTTACCAGGAATTACTTAGTTGAGAACTCTTTTTGGTTTGTTAAAGTTTTCCTCTGTATGTGTATTTTTAAAGGTCAATCGTTTCTTTGCAAATTTGGAATTGGCTTTACGACGAACTCTTTCTGCAGCCGATGATAATAGAATCAGATGCGAAAAACTGGAAGATTCGTTAAAAAAGGTTCACTTTTTTCAGTTCATTATTGGGCTGAGGAAACTTTCATTCAATAATTAGCTAAATTTACCTTAAAAAGAATTTTTGTCGCCTGTTTCTTTGATTAGCTGTTGTTTTTCATTTTCGTATTTTTCCTCGCCATTGATCCACCTTGTTTGCGCTTATCACGACTGTTTAACCCGCATTCCCCAGTAGACTTGCAGTTGGATCTTCCAGTGCATTCTTAGCCTTCCAGTCTTGCACAGTCTTACACTTAGTTTTTTATGCATTTTGTGCTTTGTAACAGCAGTACAAAACGCATATTGTCACGGGGTTGTCTGTGTGTGTTTGTGTGTGTGTCCGACATTTTGTCCCGCACTTTCAACTCGGGAACCACAAAAGCTAGGCGGCTGGAATTTTAGTATAGTGTTTCCCGCCAACGATTGGCGCGGCAAATTTAAATTCAGCCTTCCCATACCCGCGGATAACACGTACGGCCCCGTAAAATTTTCGAGTAAAATCAGTATCTCGCGAACCACAGAAGGTGGGAAGCTGAAATTTTTATGGGTATATCCTCTGCCCACGTGCGACCCAGGGAACTTAAACTCTACCTTCCCGTATCTACGGATAACACTCACGGTCTCGTAAATTTTTAGCAGATAAGTTTTTAGCAGATAAATTTTAAATTCGAGAGCCGAAGAACTGCAGGGTTGAAATTTGGGGGGATGTTCCCCATCCACGTTTTCAAATTCACCTTTCACGTACTGGCACGTGGAATTTTCAGTGGGAAATTCCTCACCTTAGGAGCCAGGCAGCATACCTATTGTTTTTCCATATACAAAAGTGTAAAGCAGTTATATTTTTATTAAACAAACGTCCACTGGACGGATCTATGCAAAACGCGTGATCGCACCCCTGGCTACCCTGGTGCGCTTCGCTGTTTATTTAACATTGCAAGTGCCTTGCCAGTGGCCGCTTCGCTTGGTGTTATTCATTTTTATGCGTTTTGCGCTGTGTAATAGTACCACAAAACGTATAATGTCACCTCCTTGTTTTTGTGTATCCGCGTGCACTTTGTTCAGCACTTTCGACGTGGGAGCCAGAAAAGCTAGGAGACTGAAATTCTAGAAGAATATTCCCCTCTTACGTGCGATCACGCAGATTTAAATTTAGCCCTCCCATGGGCGTGGTTATGACGTACGGCCCCGTGAAAGTTTTGGCGGAGAAAACTGTTATTCTAGAAATCATGAAAGCTAGGAAGCTGAAATTTTGAGAGAATATCTTCTGCTCATTTACGATCCGGCAATTTAAATTCATCCTTCCTGTGCGTTTGGGCATCACTTGCGGCCTCGAAAAGTTTTGACGGGAAAAATGATTATCTTAGCGGCCACAAAAGCTAGGGATTTAAAGTTTTAGGAGAATGTTTAAGGTAAGAAACTCGGCTTCCACGTATTGGTGCGTGAAATTTTTAGCAGGGAATTTCGTAGCTTAGGAGGCAGACAACATATCGACTACTGCTGCACCGACGAAAGTATAAAACAGTTAAATTTTTAACAGGCAAGGTCCACTGGGCGGAACTGCGCAAAACTCATGATCGCACCGGTTACCTTGGTGCGCACCTCTATTTAAATTCGTGCACAAGTTGTACGCCAAGCTGTAGACTTTTTTTTGCTGTTCACTTTAGCATAAAATGTGATTCCGTTCCGTTTTGTCGATATCTTTTCTCATTGAGTGTGAGAAAAAAATCGTACAATGAGTGCCTTTACAACAGTTGTCAGTACTACCTTATCATCACTTCTGTCGTAGGGAAGTGAAACGGAATATCATTTTTACTGAAAAAGAAATTTAGCGGAGTTCTAACGGGGTTTGGCAAGATGCCAGCTAGCTGCAGCATATAGCAAGTGAAGCAGTTTCGTTTCGCTCTTGCTACTGTCCTTGAAAAAAAAGTAATTTCTGCAGTAGAAAAGGATTTATTGGTAAATTTTCATCATAATTTGAATTTTGCTTCTTTGCAGCTAAAAATTGACTCGATTTTTACAGTTTCCATTCCGTTTCCTCTTCATTTGGACCGTTTTTCTAGTTGGAAATCTCGTCTCTTTTAATTTTATCACGTTAATTGTGAGAAAATTATCATTTGTCACATCAAAAATAACATATTCACCAATGGCTTTTGCTTTTGGTTGAATTTCAGGATTTCTTTTGTTTCAGAGTTGATACTTTTCAGGTGACGTTGGATTTGCACAGTATTCAAAGTGAACTGCA